ATTCTCCTGGCTCAGCCTCCTGAGTAGCTGGGACTACAGGCGCCCGCCACCACGCCCGGCTAATTTTTTTGTATTTTTAGTAGAGATGGGGTTTCAGCGTTGCCAAGATGGTCTCGATCTCCTGACCTCATGATCTGCCCACCTCAGCCTCCCAAAGTGCTGGGATTACAGGCTTGAGCCACCGCGCCTGGCCTAGGCAGGGGAACATACTGATCCCATTTCCAGTGGGGAACCTCAGACCCTAGGAGGAGAGACCAGCAAAGGGCACCACCCTAGATGCTGGGGAGGACTCAGAGGTATTGGTGGATGGGGTCAGACAGCCCTGGTCTTGTCCCAGCTCTGCCTTTGCCAGCTCTTAGAGCCTCAGCTTCCTCAATGCTAAAGGGGATAACAGTCGCTACCTCACCAGGTGGTTGTGAATATATGGAGGGCACCTGTAACACAGTTGATTGGTGTTGCCCCTCACCGACCCCTTTTTCATTCCCATGGGGAACAGCCAAGGCTGGGGAGTTATGACTCCAGTGATAGACTGCTCCATGTGAGTGACTGTGTGTGTGTATCTGTGTGTTGGGGTCAGGGACACCTGAACTGTGTGGTGTTATAGGAGTCAGTGAACCTCTTAGCCTCAGTTTCCCTATCTGTACAATGGGTAAAGTGATGATACCTCAGGATTTCTGCAAGAATTAAATGACGTCCTCCATGCCAAACTGGTAGCAAGGGACCTCAGGACATGCTCATGTTATCTGTGATCATAAAAATGTGATCACGTAGCTTGGTTGGGGGTTCCGAGAGTACTGGGATCTTTTCCTCGCCTGAGCTGTCCCCTGCTGGCAGTGGACAGCACTACCTCCCTTACTTGTGCACGTTTCAACTTCACCTGTCAGCCAACACTATACCCATTTTAAAGACAATGAAAATGGAGGCAAAGGAAAGAAGGGTGACTTTCCTGAGGACACTGACCAACTTGTTGAACTCCTTCATATAACAAGTCATCATCAAAGCTAACAGCTTGTAACACTTGTGTCAAGCAGGGCCTTGGGCACCTTTGCGGATGAGAAACTGGTGTCTATGGTAAGCAGATGCTGCCTGGCCTAGACACAGGCGTGGCAAGGAGACTGTGTGGGACTTCAGTACCCAAACGCCCCTCACCCTGCGCCAACTATAGGGAGCGGCACTGCAGCCAACACATCACAACTTACAATATCCCTTGGATTGGAGTCAATTATTAGCCTGGTTTTCCAGTTCATAAAGCCAAGACTCCCAGACAACCTCGCTCCACCCCCAGTCTGACCCTGGGCCCTCACCACTACTCCCCATTCGGCCTAGGCCCTTCCACATGCCCCACCCACACCGTGGTTTTGTGAGTCCGTCCAGACCTGTAAAAGTGGACTGCAGGCCCGTCTCTGCTCTGGACTCCCTTTCGGGGCTGCAGGAGGCTTTCTGATCCATCAGGCATCTGACAAGCCCCAGGACACTGCCAGCCTGTTTGTGCTAAGGAAACTGAGGCTCGGGAATGTTTAGCGGCTGCTTCCAGGCCCGTGGCGGGTGGGTGGTGGTACAGTGAAGCACTCGAGGCGTTTCTCCGCGCCCCAACACGGGTGAGACCACCTCAGCCCTGGCCCGAGCCCACTCGACCGTAGCCTCGATTCCTGGCACCGAGAGCTTTGCAACTTCCAAGTCTCCACTCCCAGGCCCCGAGTTCCGAGAGTCAGGGGGAGCCACATTACTCCTATTGTGTAGGTTCCCACCTGCAAGAGTAAGGTTGGGGTCGCTGGGGTGAAACCCCAAAGGAAAGCGGGATCGGGACTGAGGGAGGGGGATTCCCAAGTCCCTGACACCAGCGCCGGGTCAGCCTGGGCTTGGTGACCTCGTCAGTCCCGTCTGCCGGGACTAGGCCGCGGCCAGGCCGGGCACA